TTCAGACCAAAGGATTATTAAGGAACATGATACTGAAGTGCTTGAGAAAACAGCTGTCATTTCCAAGTAAAGTAAGAAGTGCAGGAAATTATAGTTCGTTTTTCAGGAATTAATTTGAAGAAATGAATGTGATATTCAACCTAATGTGGCTTAGGTTGGGTCACCTCATTGGCAACCAGAAGTTAAAGACTGAGAAAATTAAGAGCAGTAGTTCCCAACTGATTGTGATTTTGTGTGACTTTTCTCCTTCCTATCCTCTCTGCTACCTTCAGGAAGTATTGGCAACGTATGGGGAAATTTTGTTTGTCATCATTTGGAGGGGGAGTAGTGGCATGCAATGGGTAAAGACCAAGATTGCTATTAAACATCCCACAGTGTCCAGAACTGTTCCCCTCACAGCCAAGAATTATCCAACCCAATATTTCAATAAAGCCAAGGCTGTTTAAGATTTCACTGGTGGGATGGGGCGCACCACTCCAACATTGTTTGCCAACTAACCCTCCTTTCCCCTGCACTGCCCCTTGCCAGCTTGAAGAAGCCAGAGCGAACACAACGCCCCCCTTCCTTAACAAACAAAAAAGGGAGGAATGTTGGCAATAATGGCGCCGATAGGTTTCAGTTCTTACTGCACCCTTAAGCTCCTGTTTTCCAGGGTCACGGTCCTGCCTCCCAGGGTCACAGTCCAGCCTCAAGTCTAGCTTGAACCCTCCTTCTGCCCCAACCTCCAATCAGCATGAACCATAAGATCCTAACCAACCAGATCATGCTAAGTCCCACTGACAGGTATTTAAGCCCCTGCCCCTCTCTCCCTCACTCTCTTGGCTCTCTCTGCTCTCTCCCTCTCCCACCCAGCAATAAAGAATCTCTTGGCCAGAAAAAAAAAAAAAGATTTCACTGGTGGGTGCCTAGTAAAATTGTTCTAGTTAACTGCTGACTTAGGCTGACTTAAGCTGTCTACTTATTAATTGTATTAAATCAAGTCTAAGGCATAACTTGGCCAAGGGCAGACTTTGCAAACTTTCCCTCACCCCACTCAGCCATGTCAGATACTTCTGGAAAATGTATTCAGTGCTTCCAGATAATCCAGATAAATTACACCAACATTACATTGATGCCAACTGCCATCAATGACATAAAATGTAGGCTGTTTCTGGTCTATAAGAAAGCATAATGACTAATGTGGAAGGTCAGAAATTCTGCACCTGTTTTTGGCATTTTGTCATTTCCTAATAAACCACTACAGAAAACTTGTATCATTCTTACAAAAGAGATTTAACACTCTAGAGAGTATTAATTAACTAAAAAACAGATCTCCTTTGATGGTTACTAGCCAGGCAAATATCTCTATTTCTTCTCCTATTTTTTGACCTTGAGAATATAAGCTAAAAAAAATCCCCAAATTTATAACTAATTTTTTGTGGTGTTTTAGAAGAACTAATTAGGAAAGACAGGCTAGTCCAAACAAATAATTCTTTTAAAAGGAAGCAGAAAATTATGTAGTCAATACTCTTCAAGTTTAAAGGTATTTAATAAGAATAATTATTTACTATTGCTGGTTTTTCTAGATAAAACCTCAGAGGAAAATTGCTATAATAGCAGGAAGTGTTGAGCATTTGAAACTAGAAACTATTCTGAACTATTTTAATAATGTATCCTTCTGTCAAAATGAATTAAAAATATTTGAGAAATGGTATAAACACTCAGATTTTTAAAGTACACCTTGATTTATTCATTCAACCATATCTTTAGTGGCAAAATGTTAAGATTTTGTAAAACACTTTGTTTTGTATTTGAAACTCAGGCTTACATGCTAAAATAACAATCTCTTGCTACTTTCAAGACTCTGAGACATGCAGAAAATTGGCCAGGCACTTTCTTTCAGAGAACCTCAGAGCTCAGTGCAAGCCTCCTTTCTTGTCTACACACTCGCCTGGCTGGTGGATATCTTCTCTGAGGGTTGAAGATACTCAAATATCCACTTCTAGTCTTGATCTTGCTAACAACTCCAACTTGTACACCCATCTACCTACTTGACTCCTCTACTTGGCTGATTAACAAACAATAGGCACCTTCCCTCTCTTTCTTAACTCCAGCCCATTCCTCCCTCCCTCAGCCTTCCCTATCACAGGAAAGAACACCAGCACTCACTGAGGAGCACAAGTCAAAGTCAATGGAGTTATTCCTGATTGCTCTCTTTCCTTCATCCAATCCTTTTATATATATATATATATATGGATTATATATATATGGATTATATATATATAAGCACATTTTTCTTTTTATTCTCAAGTGCTCATTTTTTAATAAATTTTATTATATATATATTTAAGGTATACAACATGTTATAAGATACATATAGATGTTTAAATGGTTAGTATGAGTTAACAAATTAGCATATTCACAATCTCATCTAGTAATTCATTCCCGCCAAGAGCAGCTATAATCTGTTCATTTATCAAATTCCTGAATGCGACATGCTATTATTAACTATGATCTTCATATTGTATATTCAATTTTTTAACTTGGCCATCCTACGTATTTTATAACCCGCATTTTATATACAACTATATTGTGAACCTTTATTTCCAAGTGCTCAATTTGGTTTATAAAGGACACATAATTCTTAATGATTATGCTTCACAATAAAGTGATTCTTCTAATTCCCTGGCTTATGGAGACTTAGTGATGTTTTTGGAAATTTCTTTTGACTAAGAATCAAAGTTTTCCACGGGGATGCTTGGATTTCCTGAGGAGGTGAGGAAACCGCTGCACAGACTGGGGCCATCCCACAGACAAGACTGTGGCCATCCCACAGACAGACTGTAGGTAAGTTGATGCATATCACTGACAGATGCTTTGTTTTATCTGTTTTTGAGCTGGATTAAGAAGCAAACATCTGAGGTAGATACTTCTGGACTTATTGAAGGAGGTTGGGTATTAAAACCACTGAAAATATGTCAAAAAGAAAGAAATAGAACCTACTTGAGCTTCTGTTGGAGTTCAGTACTACATGAATTGGAGGGAATAAGCTCCTAGGGATGGGGGCTGAGCACTCCCTCACATGCTCTCCTTCCCTGTAGGCTACTTGCTCATATAACCTTGGTTTCTCATCACTGTTTTCCTATATTTCTCCTGTTGATAATAGGTCCTCCTCAGCAATCTGTGACTCTGAACTCTTAAGATTCTTCTTGCTACTGTAGAAATCTTCCTTAAGCCATAAAGAGAAATTAGGAAATTATGAAAAAGTGACTACAGGGTACTTTGGAGAGATTAGGGTTAACTTTCCACAGGGCTCCTAGAATTTTTTTAAGCATAGAGTCATGGATAATTTTTAATGTTTGTGTCAGATTCAATGACTACAAATTATTCATAGAGGGAGGTAACAAATAACCCAAAATGTTTTTTACTTGTGTTTAGGTTTTTCCCCTTTCAAAAAGAGTAGGAAGGGTCATAATGGCAGGATGAATCAGTTCAACCTCACTGATGTCATCTGACACCAAAAAGAATAAAAAAGAAGTCATATAGTTCTGAATCCATTGGGATTGAGTATATTGGGGTTGGTGAGGGATGGGAAAAAAGGTATTTTGCATATAGGAAAAGGCAATGGTAATACTTAAATGGGCCATAAAGATTAGCATTTTTAATTGTAGACCTGCAATCCAGATATCCAAACAGGAAGTTTAGAGAAAACCTCCTTGCCCTTCACTATACCATTTTTAGTGTCCCAGCTTTCATGTGACCTCCAAGTGGAAGATTTTCTAATATAGGAGCTTTTTGGATGACAACTTTGACCAAAGTATGACTATTGTTAACTTTTACTCTCCATTTCTTTTTTTAAATATAATTTGTAGTTGTGTGTCTTGCTGTCCACATTGCAAATGCCTGAGTTTTCCAACTTGCTTCAGAACTGAATTTGCAAAGAAGGTATTAATATTAAACTACTTGTCACTTAATCCTGCTTTTTTTCCCCAAAGACTTTTAGCCAGTGAGTACTTTGCTGGGCAAAGAATAAAAAATAACTAAACGTTACAGAAGCACAATCATTTGCCTAAAGAAAGAGATTCATTTAAGAGTGTTGAGTGGACTCTGAGTTTCTTGTGCTATGAGACTGCCATGTGAAATGTTTTACATCCTCTGTCTGCCAGCTCTGGTCTTCTCAATATACAAAAACAGCCTCCTCACCCCATTTTCAGCTTGCTTTCATTTCTTTTTTTTTTTCAGCAGAAATGCTGGCATACAACTTACTGCCAGGAATAGCTTAGAGCTGATGCTCTCAATTTAGTCAGCAGGAATATATTACATTTCTCTCCTCTTCAAAACACTCTATAATCATGACCCCATAAAGTTAGGTGATTTTAATCCAAATGAAACATGCAGCTTTGTAAAACATACAGGAAAGATAATTTTTACATCAACAATATATTTGCATTCTGAGCTATAAGTATTATATTATTTTATTATATTGTTTATCAGAACATATCTTCCGTTGCAAAGAAAGATTTTGTACCTTTCCAATTATACAGTTACAATTACTAAAATTCATGCCTGTTTATTTCTTAGGTTGAAAGTGTTTTCAAATAATAGCTATAACTCATAAGAATGGTACAAAAATTTCAAGCAATTTTAATACTGGAAATACCTAGTAGCAGGAGTTATGTGTTGAAAAAAGAGTTGTTGATATTTAAATTTTTTTTCAACGTATACTACAATTCTATTTCTGGTTATTTTTCTTGGTCATTTTTGAAAATATAAACTTTTATTTTTATTTTTCAAAAAATTTATTAGATTAATTCAGCTATTGAAATGAGTAAAATTGAAGAAAGAAACATTAGCTTTCTCTGTTATTTTGTTAATAGTGCATACAAACTAGTCACGTATTTTCAAAATGCTACTTTCTCAACCTTGTATTTAGTAAGTTATGAAATCTCTATCTTACACAAGGAGACATGTACCAGTTTCCTTGCTTTATCAGACAATCTCCCAAGCATCTGTATACTTACAGAAGCACAGTTTTCAGACTTGTCTTCAACAAAACCAATCTGGCATAGTGTCCGCTGATTCTGCAGCCAGTAGTCTGTGGACTCCAGTAAGCTATTGCTGCGAAGAACCTGGGGGAACCCAGACAACCTTTTTAGTGTTTATTCTGCAGGTATTTTTAATTAAATGACATCTTTCTTCCAAAAATACTATAGGTGTATTTTATTTTCCTCAGAGCATCTCCAGATAACAGCATCTCCAGAAACTGTAAAGTGTTCCAACTCACATTGACTTGAGAGGAAGACACTGATGTTAAACTAATATTCTCTCTCTGGGAAAATCCAACACCTGAAAAGGTTAGTGTATGTGTGACTTAAATAATTGACAATGAAATGATTGTTGGGAGTATGGCCCCTTTGGCAATGGGGCTAAGATTTCATTTAATGTCAGTATTCCTTCACAATTTATGACTATTTTATACTTTTAAAATATCATGCTTTCTTTTTTCGTGCAATATTGATTCTTCAGTTGGTCAACTCTGCTAACATAGATGTGAAAAGAGGCACAATTCTTCTAGGACCTCTAGGAAGTTGTTAAAATTATGAAAGTTATTAAAATTATTAGGAGTAACTCAACTACACTAAAATAACAATTTTCCATTCAGAAATAACATGGTAAAACAAAAAGGCATTGCATGCATGAGTTAACAAAGCCAAATAAGACTTCAAAATGTCTTGCTTTGGAGTTTGGACTTTAAAGGCAGAATTAAAAGCGTATTTCAGAGCCAAAACCTTTTTGCAGATACAATCTTATAAATAGCCAAATGATTTGATGTCTAATTTGTGTCTAGTACTTCTCAACATCAGCCAGATGTTGTTATGACATTTTTCTCCTGTTTAAGCTCTCCAGTGTTAGCTTGGTATGCTACTTTATTAAGGTACATATCTGCTAATATTTGTCTGCTACCTTCATTGAAACAACACACCAGATTTAATCAGTGTGTTTAATGCAACTTAAAAAGGATGACACTTCAAATACATTTCATTTGCATAAAAAAAGCATTGTCTTTTATTCTGTAAAGATAGAAATATATTAATTTTTTTCTCTGATGAGTTAACAAATTCTGACAAATTTTTCTATTACATTTTTGCTTTAGATGCATAGTATTACTCATAAGCATTTTCTCTTCCATGTTTATTATCTAGTGATGACATATTTTCATGAACACTATAAAGAGGTGCTTTGTGGGCAAGCAGGTGATTGGATGACACACTGGGGCTCATCAGGAAAAACTGAGTTAGCTATGAAGTTCTCAGTACTCTTAAGAATCTTACCTACAAATGCCAAGGCAGTTTTGTCATTTTGACTTTCATTGGACTGAGAATCCGGTGGCATTTCCAGAGCTACATAACCTGTGACAGCACAGCAATGAGTGCAGAGCTCAGAGAGCACTCAGCTGTCTTCTCTTACATCAGACATTCTTTGCACAGATTTGCAAAAATGTTAATTGAACTTACACTCTTCTCACTAAAAGGTTTTATTTCGTTTTGGAAAGCATAGATAATTTACGTAAAAATGTTATGTATGTTAATGTGTTCATTAGTTTTTAAATTGTTATTTTAAAATTCAGTAAATAAAAATATTTCTTAGCTTTATTTGTCATTTGGTAAATATCAATGAGCATAAGTCATATAAACAAAAACTTCATGAGGTCTCTAATAACTTTTTTTTTAGTACAAAAGAATTTTGAGTTCTTTTTATCTTAAACACTGCCAAAAAAATGTTCAAAATGTTGAGAATGATGAACTTAGATTAATTTCACTTAAAGTAGAGTAACCTCAGTCCATACCCGCCACAGCCATTCACTTTTATTTCCATCATAGACTAGAGGTTCCAAGCCTGGGTACTAGTGGTGAAACTGGGTTGAAATCCTCTCTTGGAGGTTGGTAGCAGGATGAGCTCAAGCAGCTTATGTAAACTCTTTTTGGGACTTGGTTTCCACACCTGTAATCAGGGATCATAACACATTTGGTAGGATCCCTGAGGAACTATGTGTGAAACCCTGAGTCATGCAGACAACAGGTTATAGTCTCAGAACATGGTTTTCATTGCTATGATTTGGAAAGGAATTGTAAAGATAGAAAATGGGATGCTTTTGCCTGAAGTTAATAGATTGAAAATATTTCAGATGCTGAAAGCAATTTTTCTTTAGCAAATATATGCCAGGCTAAGGAGTAATTTTGGGTGTGTACTTTGTGGTATTAATAATTACAGCTACTTTTATTTACTACAGGATTAGAATGTTCTGGGAAAATAAAAAAAATAAAGTAACATATAGTAAAAAATAGAGTAATAGATGTGTATTACTTTTTCCCTTAATCATTATTACAATGCTATAAGGTTGGTATTATTTTAAGATACAGGTCTTATAGGAATGGCCGTTTTGAAAATGAAGACCCTGAGCTCAGACTCAGACAGTTTTGTGTTTCTACATACATTGTTCAGAGCTGGACTTTGGGTCTTGTCTCAAATACACCAAGGCCTGTATGTGAATTCTTTCAAATGAGGGGCTTCCATATGCTTCCAAATGGATCTGATTCACGGTGTTTCTGAAAAGTTATGTATATCTAATTTTTATAAAATGCATTTTATGGACTTCCATTTAAAGTTAGATTCCTGTTAATGAAATTTTGAGGTGACATTTTTCTTTAAAGAGAAGAATTTTTTGAGAGGTAAATGATACAATTTAATTAATCTATTTGACAAGTATTATCTGTGTTTTAATTTCTCTAAGGACATCATACTTTTAAATCTATTTGGGTTACCATTAAACAACTGGTATCACAAGGTTTTCTGCTCCTTGTCTTTCTTTGATCATTAGAATTTGGAACTCCTGTGACTAATACAGTGCACTCATTAAGCCTGTATCCCATGAGCACAGGAGATTTAAACTGCAGACACGAAATGAATATAGTGGGTGATCCTACTTTATAATGCAGCTTAATAAGTCTCAGAACCAGAATCATTCCTTCATTTCAAAGCTCACTCCACAAACAATAGGCCCTGGATGTTGTCTACACCCTGATATACTCAGAGCACACAATATCATGGTTATTACAAAATGTGTCAATAGGAAAAGGCAACTTCACATCAGTGTTTGACTTATTCTTGTCCTACGTCAACCTGGAGTTCAGTCACAATTTACTTGGGCATTTCAGAAAAATGGTGGGTCGGGTTGACACATAATCCTGATGAAATACAGAAAGGCAGAGGTTGAGGTACCAAAAGTCCTCTGCTACCTGCCATTTTGAGGTTCCCACAGGTGAGGGAAGGGCTCTCTGATGATGAGGCTGAGAGAAGAGCTAGATACCTCAGATTTCTCCTGCATTTAGCCTTCTATTTTAAAGTTTTTATATTTTGCACCAATTTAAAAAAATAAGTAATAACTAAAAATATACAAAGACCTTGTTCTAGCCTATCCACAGAGTAAAGAAAGAGTCAAATGCTTTATGGATCTGCTCACTCAATGGTAAATGCTAGAAGATGTCTCAGTGAGTTATTTCACATCCCTAGGAGACTCAATATCTCTCCTAAGTCACATCTTAGTTCTAGAAGAAAGAGATATGGCACAGGAAGGAAGTAGAATTTAAAACTAATCCTGAATCTTTTGATGGTTAAGAAAAAATATTTTGAAGAAAGCATCTTTGTATGGTGAGGATATCTATTCACTGTTTAACTTCAGAACTTTATCATAATTAAATAGCTCATCTGATTACATCAATAATTAAAATAAAATACATTCCCTATACATTCCATTAATAATGTTATTACTTAATAATTTTATTGTTTAATTATTGACCCAATACTACTACATTGGGAACTCTCTGAGCTAAGGCCTTAAATAATATCTGAACTAAGGCTCTCTACTTGTAAGGTAGACTCTAAAAGTTAATCTATGTAAAGATCTTAAACCAGTTCCTGGCACATAGTAAGTATCTGAGAAACTTAAATTGTCATAAAAAAATATTGCTCCCTTTGCCCTAATTCTCAGGGACCAATAATTTATCAAATTAGTGCAGAACCAGCATTTGAGTCTGGTTCTCAGACCTCAGCTCCTCCACTTGCAGTGCTCCATTGCATGTTCATGAAATCTCATCATTTCTCATCTTTGGGCTCTGCCAAATCTCAGCCCGTGCAGCTGTCCATCCCTCTCTCAGGACCCTGGTCAGAAGTTTGAATTCCATTCTGACTTGTCTGTTAAGTGGTGGCGTTACCTCCCAGCTCTTGGCCGCAGTTTGCCCGTCCTAAACATTGAAGCCAAGCTAGCTTAGCTGAAGGGCACTTTTCTACACCAGGCGTCATGTAATTTTCTTCTCCCTCCCCTTTCATGCATCTTGTCTCTCTCCTGTTCTGATATACATTAAAAGCCAAGTAAGGAAGAAGAATAAAAAATGCAGGCTTCAGTAAGCCACTCAGCCTCCTATGCTCAGCAGTTGTAAACTGTGAAGAGCTTTTGGTCTAACGGTTTTGACAAAGGCTTAGAAAAGCAGTGCGTGAAGGGAAAATCGGTGATTGAGAATTAAGTGATTTTGAAGCTTTATGAATATAAATTCCCTGCCGAGAGGGTCATTTCTTAGGGGAAAGAAAGGAACTCACTGGGCTCTCCATGGCTCATTAATTTATCTGCTATTTTTAGTTTCAGGCTTGCTTATTTCAGATGAAGAGCTAATAATGAACGTGCTGTGTCTTCACGTTGGAAATAATAATGGCACAATTTCCCTTAGATCTTGTAAGTGTCCTGAGTAAGGAAGAAAGATCTGCTCTGTGTTACGGTTACCTTACTTTTGATAGAGAGAGAGCCAAGACTAAATTTGGATTTAGTGTTGAAATGAGACGGGGATTAGGGAGGGCGTGTGTTTAGTAAACTGGAGGCAACTGCTAAACAGTTTCTGAAGCTTAATTTTTCTTTCATTCACTTAATAGTAGAAAGAATTTTAAAGAGTGTACTCTGGCTCTGGGCAGTATGATGACAAATGATACAGATTTGGGCTTTATATTTATGGAGCGTAAGTGTTGGCATGGGAGCCAAAGAATAACTAAAGGAACGTTTAAATGCTACTTAGTTGCAAAT